AACTAAATCTTTCATGTTCATTTAATTTGTAAATCCAATGGCGAATCTGGCATTTGGAAAAGTGACTTTTTCGCTTGTCTGGTCATCATCACCAAGGCGACAACGATGCGACACAATTATGTGCAGACTTGTTAAACAGACGAAATTTGCAGAAAACTCCAGACAACAGGCTGGATCGTAGGCAGACAAGTTTGTCGTGTCATCGGCGGTCGCAGGTCCCCTGACTCCACTGCAGCTTGAGGCTGGGCCACGAGATCTCGAACCATTCGGACAACGTGGTCGCCCGATGATTCGTCACACGTGAGTACTCAGCATCGGGCCCGGGCCGATCCGGAAGTCGGATCACGTCGCTGCCCTGCTCAATCAGCTTGATCACCTCAAGGAGGCTTTTGATGCTGGCCTCCTTGCCTCCGGTTTCCATGGTCTCAGTCGTTGGCCTCGAAACGTCGACGGACTCGGACGCGACCACTTGACCCTTGCAGGAGGCTTCAACCGAGGTCTTGTGGGCAAGACGATTCCACAGACGCCGGATGAGGGCGTGGAACTGAGCCAAGTTGATGCGCTCGTAGGTCACTTTGATGTGTGCTGTACGAAGGTGTGTGTATGACGAAGAGAAGAGTTTAATTTGATAGTTTATTTTTAAACAATAACTTAGTTATAATATTGGTAATTTACAGTGATTTAATAACTGGTAATTATATTTTTCCACAACCTCTTAACCTTGCCTTCCAAATAACTACCTCAAACCTCGTCTAGATGGTTGTGCCTATATCAACCATCAGGTTTAAGGTCATCCGAGTTGTACTTCACGATAGCATGCAACCTTTTTTATTTGGTATGCAGTAGTATTATTTATTGTAATTCCCGGCACAAGACACAGATTGTCTTCTCATTGCCTCACTGGCTTTCATTCTTGACTGCTTTACAGAGTGCCAAGTTGCTGCTTTATTAGCATTGTCCTGTTTAAAATCCCCTTTCGAAGTAGTGATTATATCCAGAGTAGGTTGAAACTATGGTACAGCTGGGATGAGAAAGCCTTCAAATGCATTTTCATCATAAAACATTTATTTATTTAGATCGTAGATATGAAGACAAAGATGAGTGGCCTTTTGTTTGGTAGCAGTCTCCTTCAGCTGTACAGTATTGGAGCGACAGGTAGACATTGAGGAAGGTATCTACTCCTGCATCCTCTGTCAGAGTATCCATTATGATTTCCAACTTAGGACCTTTTAATTGATACATTTCCCGGCCTGAATCTATTTAAATGTGGGAAATTCAACTAACAATCCTTTGTAAATTTTTCGGCCTTGATGCTGGAGCGATGGTTTCTCGATCCACCAAGATTGAAGATAAAAGAAGAACTACGAGAGGGTGTGAGTGCTAGGCGTACATAGAACAAGCAAGGATGAAATGAAGACTAACGAATGGAAATATCCAGGAGAGGAGATACGTTGTTAATGTGATGCTGGCCGGGAAGAGTCTCGATGCTTCAGTAGAACATGTAAAGACGCGTAAGCGCCAACTTAACGACACGGGCGTCAAGCAAATTTGCCTTCATTTTGGTCCTCAACAGGCGCAGTACTCTGTCGTGAAAGGTCAACTTGAATTGGACATGAGGCAGAAGAGAGGCTTAAAAAATGGCGAACAAAGAAGAGAAGCGAGCCGAGCATTATTACAAAGAAGATCTAGTCAGACAAACGGTATGGATAGAGCAATTTAAATCTGTTGAAGTCAGGCTAATTCGATGCAGAGATTTGTTTGCGAACAAGAGACAATGTACTAGACTTCATGTCGTTCCGATGAAGAAGGTGTAATGAAAAACACAATAAGTCGGGGACTATGCTCATGTAGAAATTTGTTTAGATATAAAGATGAAGAATAAGTGGGTTTCAATGAATCTCCTGAGATTATCTTATGGAGAGGCTTTCATTCCGTATGAAAATGCATGAAGAAGAGATTCGTAGGTCGATCTCATCAGAAGAGGACGAAGGAATCGCGTTGTACTGCCACCGTTTGGCTTTTATACGACGTTCAGGTTGACGCAGTCCATGAGACATCCTCCCTCGTTTTGGGTGAAAACGGGCTGAGCTTTCGTCCATCATTCGAAGGACATCATCAGAGCTCGGTCACATTCCTGTAAAAGTCTCACGTAAACACTGGGCCACGGAGAATATTCTGCTTTTTCTTACCTCTTATTACATTACACTGATTTACTGGTAGTCTTGAAACCCTACTCACATATGATTGCTATAACAAACATACGTTTACTCCATCGGCACTTCGACCAAAGAATATGATATGGCGAAGAGGCCTGACCTTCCTTGAAACTCACTTATGCCCTGTGACTCAAGATTACTCGTGGCAGTGTAGCCGAGTGGTTAGCGTGTCGAGCTACCGTCCTGCACTGTCGCGGTTCGAATCCCGTTGAGGGTGTTGATAAGACCAATGCAAAGTCGAAACTGCAGTCCACCTCAGCCTGGATGAGAACAACTTTTGGGAAAACAAGGCTATGTGAAATTCAATGGAAACGTCAGCTCAACT